TCAACATTGATGTGTTTTCACGGGGTGGAAGTCCATTCACAAATCCCCAACCTGGTCCAAGCCATACTTCAGATATTACAAACTCATCTGCTACTCCCAAACGGCATGCCAGGAAAAGACCGTATCCCCCGTATCCCCAAGACCGAGGATCTAGATCTACCTCTCCATCCGCTTTCGACATTGAAATTCTACAATCCCTTAAAGGGTTGCAACAACAACAGACACAAAAACCACCCCAGGACGATGACGAACAGTTCCTGTTGAGTTTGTTACCGGTGATGAAAGGGTTGGACCCAATATCCAAATTTGAGTTCCGTGGAGAGGTCAACAATACAGCTCTAAGATCATCACCACAGTATGAAAGCAACGATGCATTATCTCGGACTCCAACCCCATCACCCGCATCTTCTTCAGCTTTTGCCGATAACAACACGTACCAATATAACCAGTATGTCCCAGCAACTGCAGGCTCACAAGTTGATCCAATTTCCTCCCCACCAGGCGACCCATACCAGTATCACCAGTACCAGCAATACAAATAAATTACATCCAGTTTTTCCATTGCACATTGTCTTAGTTTCAGTGAACAAGTGTGTGTGTGTGTTGATAAAAAAAAAGTGAAATAGATCAATAAAAAGATAAAAATTAAAAGCTTTGTGGAATCAATCAAATTCATGTAAGGGGCCGTTCACAAACCATATGGACAGCTAGTGGGGTGTGTGTGTGTGGAAGGGGAGGGGGTGTCATTTGTCCACACCTGCAAAAAGGGGGGGGGGGGGGGGTCCAAAATGGTCAAAATTTATCCACATGTTTTGTGAACGGCCCCTAATATGTCTACATTGTGTCATTTTCTTCGTTATAACGAAATACCCAAAAACAAATGTCCTTAGTTTGGTAAATGAAGCCAATCATGCTCAATGAAATTCTAGCATTCACAAAGTGCCCTTGTTGACTTTAAGAAGGCTTTCAAATAATTTAGCAATTAGTAATGATAAATAGCCTAAGTTATAAACTTATGAGCGTTGGTGGCCAAGTGGTCAGAGCGCCGGTCCGTGGATCGGGGGGTCGTGGGTTTGAGCCTCGATGAGGACGAAACCGAATCGTGGTAATGTGTGTTGTCCTTGTCAAAAAATGATTGTAAAAGCGCCTAACTGGCTGCATGTGGTGTCCTAAATGTCATATGTGCGTTGCCCGTCAGGAGTAGTATTGTAAAACGCTCTGAGCTAACATATGGGCCGGGGAAAGCGCTATATATTTATTATTTATATTTGAATTGTTCTTACCTCAAAGTTATCACAAGCCGTTCTTTAGCAGGGATCGATTTTCGAAAATGTGTCTCTCTCTTTGCAATATGGGGTCCAATCAATTCAAGAAGCATGTAAAAAGTACTTGGTTTCATCCGAATGTATGATAGGCATTTCTCCTCATCACTTAAAACTTCATCTACAAGATGGTGGAATTCGCCGTAAGTTTCTCTTCGTTGATGGATGTTATGAACCCAAAACCTTCTTCTAGTATGACAACGTCTTTTTTTCAAACAATATAAAATTGTTAATATTTCAGCTGCCATGTTTCAATTCGAATTCCGTACTACACACAACACGCTGGAACAGTGACGGGTACACTACATTATGTCATACAACACGACACCAGCACAGCAAAGACCCAGCAAAATGCTTGACAGACGCTGTGCTGTTGCTGGTCTGATGCTGGACGCACTGTGTTGGAGCTCTAAGCCTGATTCCGCGTTTGGACTTCTCTGTTGACATCCACCCCTTGGAGCTCATAATATGACTATAGGGCGACCACATAGAGAAAGCGATTCTCACGTAAACGCATTGTCCGAGGCAGTGAAATTTAAAGAATCCCCAAATGAAAACCGTTGCGTCCCACATAGACAAAGCTGTCATTGAGGAGGCGCAAGTGAGGAGCGGCACTGACGTTTTTCGCGGAATCCAAACTACATTCTTTCCAAGGCCGTCCAAAGCTGTCAGTGGACTTGTTTTCATGTTGCGATAGTACCAAAGCAGTGCTTTTACTTACGCCTACAGTTTGATGTAGCAAGTGACTCAAACATGGACTCAGATGAGCTCATATCATCAGTGTACGTTAGAACTCCAATTTAAAAAACGTAAAATACCGTCTCCCTTTCTATGAAGAATGCATACACTTAATGATAAACGGCCATGTGTAACAGCGTTCTCTATGTGCGGTCAAGCAGGCCCTTTCCAAAGTCAGGACTGAGTGGGATACCCCCCCCCCCCAATGTATATTATACTGTAATGTTGTCACAAGAGAATGACAAACATACAAAAAAAGTAGAGGGAAAAAATGACGATAGTATGTATGAATGAGGAAAGAAAAAGCAGCAGCTGACAGAGCGGCTGATAAAAGTGCGACCTCGAGAGGCTTTCTCTATGTGGTCGCCCTAAGAGATCACAGATCAAGAGTGAAGGAAGTAAAATGAATTATTAAATAAAATGAAGTTGTATATGGAACGCAGGTGACCGAATGAGAAATTTATATTTGTTTGGTTATACAGAAAACTCTCCTTGTCTTTTAAAGAAACTGAACAAGGGGCAAAAACGTTACCTTCGATTTTCTCAAAACAGCATTTTTCGGGACAGCCCCTTGTGCTTAAAAAAATCAGACCATTTGTTGAATGAATCTGCGAGAGCAAGAGAATCATGAGCCCCAGACTGAATGATTCTTGTGGTGGAATTTTCTTATAAACCCCAGAAAAAATAAAGGCTCCAATGAAGCCTACGGAGGGGAAAAGAAAAAAGGAAAAAAAGAAGGGAGAGGACACAGAACGTCGGCGTACAGAGAGCAGGGGACTGACTTCTGACCAGGGCACTGTGGGAGGTGAGTCGGACCAACGGAGGTTACTTAGGCCACTTACTGGAAAAAAGATAAATCAATATTTGAATGCCATTTATTTATGACCATTGTAATTAGTCTAGGTACTTGTAATTAGATCAAATAAAAATATATACCATTTTCATTAATCTTTATGTACAAGTAGATCAATAGAAAATATTTTGTGAAAAGTTATTCTTGAGCAAAGACGGTTACCACCATGTGCTGAAATTTTCAAACACTGTAGCACCACATGCTTTTAACATTGATAATTAGGTTCTTATATATGGCTTATTAGATTGAAAATTCTAATTTTAGTTGATAATTTCCTTCTTGTCTGGCTATGAGGGGGGTGGGGTGGCCTAAGTAACCCTGGTGTCCACTTCCACTGGCCAAACTGGGGTTACTTAGACCATAAGGACTACTGCTTCTTACATGTCACCTTACTTTATTTTGATCAAAGATGGGCTTTTCTTTTCTTTTTTATGTTCTGGTACTGATTGGTAATTTACTTTTTTCACATCATAAAATAATTTTTTAATGATTATATCTCCTCAGCATGGAGTTTTAAAGCCCTCCCCCCCCCCCCCCAAATCTGAAGAAATGGCGTCTGATATATTGTTTTCTATGGGACGATACTGTGTACCTTTTAACTTTTAAATGAAACTCACGGGTGAAAGTTAATGTATATAGCACAGATTTAAGAACAGATTTGTTACCCTTGTACCAGTAACAAACTAACATATAAATCTTCGAACATCTGCATTGTTACAAAATGCCCAGAACGTACAAGCGAAAACCTGGTGGCTGAGTGTACACGGTCATCCCTGTTGAGACTCTGATGCAAGCGTACGATGTTCACTCTCGCAATTGATGTTGAAAATAAAATTCTCTTAAATTTTACATTTTCATGTGCTTATATACTCTTTTCCAAAAGAAACTTGACAAATTTTCTATGAACATAATACTATCAAATCAAAACGGATGATGATGATATTTATGTACAGTGCAGTGTGTTGGTTTTACTATCTTCTGAATCAATTTTGACAGCATAACTAAGTGGATTTGCTCAATTCTATGTGTTTAGTATGATTTCATTTGTTAACTTTTTATTCTGTTAAGCATGAGTTTTCTGTGCTGCCTTTGATATCAATGTGTAGCTTATTTCAAAACCTACAAAAGGTGTGTAATATATTTATGAAAACATCGTTTGCATTTGAACTGCAAGCTTCAGAAATCTAGAAAAACATCGACTTTCAGTCATGCCGCGTCTCAGTGCAGACGAGCGAGGTCGTGCTGTCGGGCATCTCGAAGCAGGCGTTCCAGTGGCGGATGTAGCAAGGATTTTTAACTGTAGCATGGGAAACCATCTACACTCTGCAGACCAGGTTCATGAACACTGGAAGTACAAGAGACCCGCCAAGAACCCTCCCGCAACACCAACCAGTGAGCACACAGATGGATATTCGTCTCAGGTCCTTTTCACAAATGAGTCTAGATTTGTCCTAGGTCGCTACGATGGTCGAGTGCGGGTATATCGCCGTCGAAATGAAAGGTTTGCTGACCAGTGTGTACATAAAATCCCTGACCGGGGATATGGGCAGGTGATGGTCTGGGGCGGAATCACAACAGACCACAGGACGGCACTGGTACATGCTCCGACAGCATAGAATGGCGCCAACTACGTAGCCACCATCTTGCAGCCACGTGTGGCACAGTTTGTGCAGAACCATCCAGGCTACACCGTACAACAGGACAACACTCGAGCCCATCGTGCCAGGGTGACACAAGCTTACCTCGCACAACAACAATTCGGTTTCATCCATCCCTGGCCAGCAGTATCACCCGACATGAACCCGATTGAAAATGTGCGGAGTATTTTCGGGCCTAAAATCCCAGATATGAATCCCGCTCCTCAGAGCAACGCTCAGTTGATTCAAAGCTTAACCAACGCTTGGAACGCTATTCAACAACATCAAATTTCCAAAATCGTCAACTCTATGAGGCTTTTCCCTTTTGTCAACCCGCAGCCACCTCCCGAATCGTCAACCACCTCCCAACCTTTGACACGGGTCAAACTTCCATCTATTTATAGGTAGTTAAATCTACCGGAACATGTATTAGGCGAAGTGATGTGCAATGATAGTCGCAATAGAGAGATTGTTTTGGTCTCTCTTTACTCATCTGCACCACACGAATTTAATTGATGTTTTTCCCTGGACTCTGCCTTTACTAAAGTATCGAATCTAGATCTAGTTGTAATCTAGTTGCAGGGTGCAGATTTAATAAATTGCCGACAGAGAGAGAGAGAGAGAGAGAGAGAGAGAGAGAGAGAGAGAGAGAGAGAGAAGGGGGAGGAGTAGATCTTGCGAGAACTTCCGGGCAAAACAAAATGGCGACCCGCGTAGTTCGGCTCGATTCGAAAAGTGAAAGAGCCATAGGCCTAGCATCTTTGTAGACGATCAAATTAGCTTACTTTTGTGCTATAACGTCATTTTTTTCTTTGCTTTTGTCAATTTGATCATCCACACCGATAGAACGTATTTCGAAATTAGGAAAAACAGGTCTTGTTTCACACTGGGTGAGAATAGCCAACGCTGGCAAGTCTCACCCGGGGTGAGAGGTCAATCGTAGGGTTTTTATTCTCACCCCGGGTGAGGATAGCCACTTCCTTACTTAAATGATTAGGTGATTAAACTTGATCTCTTATTGACAATATAAAAGTCAATTTTAGCTTCATTTCGTTAGAAAAAATGTGTTAGGTTTGCTAACTTCTT